TCATGTTTTAGAGGAATCTTTGAGGTAGTTTTTTTATGAGGGAATAACATAACATGATATAAATCTAAAAAAAAAAAAAATTGACTTTATATAATACCTCCCTTTAACTAGTTTTTAGATCAAATTCTCATGAACGTTATCCCAAAAAAAAAGAAAAAAGGAATAATTGTACCCAGGATTTCAGTTCTCTAAAGACCTGTTTCACCCTAACAGTTAACTGGTTAAAATCTGGTTCAGTTCTACCCCAATTTAGAGTATCTCCATGACGGTCTGTTTCTCACTATTGTGGGCATGAAAATAGGCAAGAATATGAGAACTTCAGTAAGCAGGAGATTGTCGATGTTATGTTTGTATTAATTTTAGTTTCCCGTGTCCTGAGTCTCCTCGTTGTCCTGTATTCCCCATGATTGCTCCCAGATGTGTCTCGTCTCCGTGATTACCCTTCTGTGTATTTAAGCCCTCCTGTGTCCTTTGTTTCTCGTTGGGTCCTTGTCGTTGTTTGTATTAATCCATTCGAAGACCAGTTGCTACCTGCGTTGAGCCCTGGTGTCTGCTCAGCAGTGCTGCCTGTGTTTTAGATATTGTTTGGATGTTTTCATTATTAAACACATCATTATTCTTCTCCACCTGGGTCTTAAGCGTCTGCCTCACCTCCCCACTGTGCCGCCATATGACAGTCGATGAGTAAAATTCGGCTTGAATAAAGCAGAACTCACTATATTCTCAAGGGGAATCATGTCACAGGAATCAGGTAAAACGTGTTACATAATTTAATTTAATAAGAAAATAAATATCCAACCACTCAAAATGAAATTTGATTTTTAGCAACTATGATTTATCTAGAACTCCACAATATTAAGAAATAACAATAGATATTCTGATAAATAAATCAGTAACCAAAACTTTCAAAAAATAATTATAGGTCCGATTTAAATCACTCAATTTAAGTCAGCAAAAAAACTTAAATAATTGAATGTTCAAAAGTTCCCATTCTTTTTTCATGAGAATATTGTCCGCAATAGAGTCCCATATCCTCGAAAACCCAAAACAGCGTCCTGGTTGCAGTTCTCCGTTTTAATCCAAAGTCTTAATCCCAAATGAAAAATCCAAAATCTCAACCCTCCCCAGGATATTAAAACATTAAAAATAATGATTCAATGCTTTATTTTTTAAACCAGTTAAGTATTGCTCTAGCTACACATTGAACCTTTAACATTTTTTCATTTTCTTATTTTTTACACTAGAACAGTCCAGTCCAGTCTGAATGTCTTAATTTTTTTTTTTTTTTGACATCATCTGTTTTAAATGTGTGCCATGTCACATAATCTCATATTCTGCTGCTTACTCAACATTAGGTCATGATTCAGAGTGGACTTTTGTCCTTGCATTTTTATTATTATTATTTTTTTTGATCAATTGGATGTTTAGTCATCCATAGAGTTTATTGCAGTCTGTTCACAGCAGGATTTAATTTTTATTTGGAGAAATGGTTCAGATCAGATCATCGTGAAAAAATTACAAAATGTTTAAAAAATAAATTCAAACAAAACTCATCAAGTGAGAAAGACAAGAGTAAAATTTTGAGCATCTGTTTTTTCAATATCTGCAAACATTTTCCAAGTCATCAGTAAAAATAAAATAAAAAAAACTTAACATTTCTGTTAATGATTCATTTTATATCTTTTAATCTGGTTGCAATTTAACCTGCTTGTTCATTGTTTGCTCTTAGGCACCATTGCCAATAAAGATTGGTGAATTGAAGTAGGCACTTTACACATCCACCGAAGAAAATAGCACATTTGAATAAGGAGGACTACAATATTTATTTATTTTAATTTTAAAAGAAAAGTGAAAAAAAAAATTGTATAAAGGTATAAATGCCAAGTTTTTCAAATGTCCCAAGTGTCAATAAACTTTTTCTAAAGAAAAAAATATTTATTTTTATTGAGAATTTATGTGAGTGATACATCGGTTTTACATTTGTTAAAACGATGTAACACTCAAAAATTAATCTTGTGTTTCTTGGAAAACGTAAATGTAACTGTTATTTTTTCTGATATTGTTAACACACACGCACACACACAATAAGCATATTTTGGTGCAGAGCAATTTCAAACTCGGTGCTGTTGTGGGCCAAACCAATGGCGGCAGTATTTTCAAATACTGCAGCCATTCTATTTGCTGAGCTGCCATTGGATTGATTTGAGCGCCAATGAGGCAGAATAAAAGCGGTTCACGAAAGAATCCATGTTGCTAGCAGAGGTTGTTTCAAAGTGTCTCGATACAATAAAACCACTTGTATGATTTAAAAAGAGTAACTAATGTGCTTTCATTCTATGTGCATGGGCTTTTAATAATCTTTCTCACAGTCAATTAAATCAGCATGCATGGGTGGGTCTCATGCATGCATTCAGGCTGGTTTGGCTGGGACCCACTCATGCAAGTTTATCATTATTGTTATTTTAATAAAACTGCATTGAATCGTTTAGTTTTGGGATATTAGATAATGATGAGTGGGTATGTGTTTTATCTTTCTCACAGTCAATTAAATCAGCATGGATGGGTAGGTCTCAATATGGGTCCATAAATGAGACCCATATTGTTGGCTCATTTGGGCTAAATGTATGGGCCCCATTCAGCATTAATGTGGGCTAACTGGGCATGGGACAGAAATGGGAACACTATATGGGGCCCATGTGGTTTCAGTATATTGGGCCTAAAAGCTTTTTCATATATAGGATGAAGGCATTGTAGTTCATATTTTTAAATTATTTTGTTTTATTATTGTGTGACACTAAAGCGTGTGAAGTGAGCAATTCAGAGACTGAGGTCCAGGTAAAAGTCAGGGAGCAAAAACAATCTTTAATACATCTGAGCAAAAATACACTGCATTAGGCGAAAATCATTCTGCTCTAACAAACTCAGAGTTGCATAGTTGCTTTATTCTCCTCTCTCTGCTAGCAGAGGCAGAGACTCAATCTTCGAAGACCAAACAAAAGAAACAAAGGAAAACAGACGGAACAGTTCAATCTTATAAGCTCATTCACTATCATGTCTACGGGATGCGAAAACTAAACACTCTATCTCCATCCAGGGAAGGCCACGGGAAAAACAGCAAGTTCCCAGATAACCCATCTGGGAAACTTCAACAGACACATCTTGTTCAATTAGTTTGTACACCTTCTGCAGCTGCACGGAAAAACATCTTGACTATGCTACTGTATGATGCAAATAAAATATTTTTTCTCTTTAAAGAAAAATCTACTTCACAAGCGTTTTGTTCTGTCAGTTTATTTCAATCTGCCGCTGTTGTGTGTTGGTCTAGAGTAGTCTTCAGTGGCCAAGCCTGAAACAAAGATTGAAAGATGAAGAAATTCTTTTTGATATTTTTGCAATATTTTGTTAGCATTAATGTGAAATGTACTTATATTTAATTGTAGCTCTAGTTCTTTGATATGCACAATATTTTAGGCTTTATTAGTAATATTTATAGTGGTTTTCTAAACCACTCTTAAGATGAAAACTACTGTCTTAGTCCTGTCAAACATATGTTAATATATTTTGGTTGTTTTATGCCTTTTGTTTGTAATTTTTAGTAATCTTTTAGGTTAAAAAGGTTAAAAATTGAGTCTTCAATTTTTGGTTTTATTTGAATAGTATTCTTTCACTGTGTTGTTGAGAACTGAAAAAGTTTTGATAGATGACACAATTTGAAGGTAACATTTGCAATATTAGCTGTCCCCGCTTCTGCCGGAGACAGGTCACCTAAAAGGAGGACTGACACGGAAATCGGGGACGTATGGTCACCCTATATTATAGGCATGTCTATCGGACAGTTGTGTATCGGTTCAATATGGGACTGACATTTAACAGCCTTATATGGGATGACTCCATATTTTACGGGATGAGAGGCAATCCTATTCAGCTGAGATACAGTTTTACCCTAAAACAAGTCTAGATACACCACTGCCCGAATCAGTTTTTAACAGTGGAAATACAGAATAATTTTATCAATGAAATCACAACTGTTCTACAAGACAGTTTGATATTTTTACTATTTAATATATTTATTCTGAAAAAAACAAAGATAGTGGTTATGTTACAGATTCCCCAATGATGTTAGCAGCAACACTCAGCAGTGGAGAACCCTGAAGTTGAAGTTAGACACAAATAAATTCAGACATTTTATTTTGTCTTAGAGAAATTAATATCTGGCCCAAGCAATTAGCTGATCAGCTGATCAGTTTTCTGTGTGTGAAAACCATCAATATTGTGGGATTTTATTTTAATATGTTTTATACATGTGGAATCCAGTGCGGTGATTGACATGTTTGAAGTTTGCAAGGTTAGCCCTTTGCTCATACAGTGATGTAATTCAGTAGGCTTATCAACAAATGCAGTCTTCTGTCAATCAAATGGTAAACTGCATTTGATTGCAGCTTGCACTGGCCCTGAAGTGAGTTCGTAAAACTTGATCTATTCGCATTCAGGATCCATGGAGAAGGGATCCTTCTCTAGTGTTCAGGAAGAAAAATTGTGCCTATTTAAAACTTTTGAAAAAAAAAAAAATCACATGAAGATTCATTCTCAGTGATATTTAATCACTTGTGCTGCTGTATTCATATCAACCCGACTACAATGCACTTGCTTAACTTTGTAGCAGAAAACCTTTATTCACAGATGTAGGTAGATCCATCTGAATGTCTTCATGCATGGAGAGATTTCCTGTTTGAGTGAGCAATACCGATTTCCTTTTCACTTTCAAATCTCAATGTCTTTTGAATTTATCCTAGACTTCTGTGGACTACATGTATATATTTAGAGCAATTTCCATGTAAGAAATTCTCACTGGAATAATGTTGCTAACACTGTAAATACTTTCTCATTTTCTGTTCCGGTTCAATATAACAAATGAGGACTGCAGTGAGGAGGGGCCAGTGCAACAATAGGAGGGCATGTGTGCCCCGAAAACTGACAAAGGTTCAGAGGAGCGGGGGACACTGACAGAAATGCGGTTTAGCTGCTCAGCAATGAATATTTTGCAGCCATAAAACACTACATCAATGATGCTAACTCATTAAAGGACAGAGAAACAATCCTCAACACAGCCAGAAGAGGGGAACAGGTATGTCATCTTTAAAATAGAAGATAAAAAGCTATTATTTGCTACAACATAATAAAACAAATTGCTACTGATATCTAGAAGTGTTTTGTGCCTAAGATATTTCCTTCCAAGTGGCAGTATAATGCAAAGTCAACTTTTTTCAAGCTTTACATCATGTTAAAATGTTATTCTCTCATCAACCTGAAGAGTGAGTCTTCATGCATGCTTTAGGAATTCTTGACTCTCCCAAGGCAACCATCTGGGTTTAAGAAACACTTGGGGAACAATTTCCAAACTGAGCTTCGACATTACAAAGCCCCTTGAAACTGCAGAAATTAGCAGCAATTAGCAAGCTCCTGTTTTGCTAATTGAACCTTGAGACATCCCAAGATGGATATTTTGCAGATATGCATTCTGGGATTCAGCTGAGACACTGATGGCTTTCCAGTCTATCTATCACAGATATGGCAGATTCTGTGATTCCATAATGTGTTTGGTCACTTAGGTACCATCAACAAATTCCAGTCTGTTGAAACAGAAAAAACTTTCAATCAATTTTCAGAATTATGAACAGCCTTGGGACAAAAAGGGTGAACTGAAATTGAATGTTTACCTGTACTCCAGTTATTCTATCCTTGAACCCTTTTTTTCCTGTCAGCCTTTAATTTCCAAACTTAATGGATTTCACCTCACATTAGTTTACAGTGTCAAATGTCCAAGCTCCATTGGGAAGTCCATCACATCTTTCACAGGAACCAATATTTATTTTGTCTCCCAGAGTTTAAAGAGAAAAGCACATTATGTGTTTCTGCAGCCCTGGTTTGAGACTTTTTGCAATTTATTCTTGGTGCATTTATGGCATCTTGATGCAGGTTCCCCTTTTAAAGTGAGTGGTGGGTGGCACCAGTGTTGCCTTGAAAGCTAGGTGCGCAGTCTCCTCACTCATACACATACCATTTCAATTGAGCTTTGTGGCGATGCCATGTTGTGGAATGTCTTCTCCAAACACTGTGCGTCCATCACATCCAGGTTACTTTTGTCTGGCTTTCAAACTGTTTCTTATAAATATGCCTGTCTTGGGTTCAGGACTGTGGGAGTGTGTGCGATCCGTCAGGTGCTTTGGGCTTGGGGTTTTCATCAGGGTAGGTGATTTCATTACCCAGCTTGTTTTGGGCTCTGTGCCATGGCTGGCTCTAAATTTTGCCTTTAGCTCCTGGTCTGTTGTTGGACTTGGTTATGAATCTTCTGTGGCTCTCTGCCTCCTCCTGCAGCCTCCAGGTGTGCAGACATGAACTGCAGGTATGGTGTGCAAGTGCTGAAGGAGTCGTTGTTTTGTCTGCTGTTTTCTGTTTGGTTGTCATCTACAGAACCCCTAGGCATATGGAGACATTTTTTTCTTCTGAGTTACCTTGCAATACTTTTGTTTTCCTCACAAAACGTTTTGCATTTTGCAATCAGCAAATATTTCTGATTGCAACATGTGCAAGTCTAATTTGTCACAATGTCACAAATGTCAATTTCAACTATATTCACAAAGAGCCTTAGTGAAAATGTGTTTGTGTTCTGAACTCTGAATTAATTTATTCACAGCATGTTTATGTCTGTTTGTGTAAGGTTGACACAAAAGAAAAAAAAATCAAGTCAGTCAGTTATTTCCCTGTGAAAATAACTCTGAAACTGTCATATGGTGGTGTAGCGGAGATGGTGAGGCAGACGCTAGAGGCCCAGGTAAGGTGAGTGGTGAATATTTAATCCAAAAATGGTCCAGAAAACACAGTCAAACACACAAGTCCGCGGCCAGGCAGCACGGCTGAGCCGAAGCCAGGGCTCACACCGGTAGCAACAAACGACAAGAACGTCAAACAACGACAAGGAACAAAGGACACAGGAGGGACTAAATACACTGAGGGTAATCAGGGGAACAAGACACACCTGGGAGCAATCAAGGGGAAGACAGGACAACGAGGAGACTCAGGACACAGAGAACTCAAATAAACACAACAGAAATAGTCCAAACAGTTTGGATGTAGTTTTTCTTTCTTTTCTTCTTGCAAACCATACTGTTTATATTTTAGAAGCGATGACAAAAGATGGAAAGCCCATGTTTGGCCTGTTCTGCTTTTGCACTTTGCACATAGGTTTGTGATCCATTTCCTTTTTTAAAGAAAAAGTTATGAAACTTGAGATATCTCACAAACCAGATATACATGGAAAAACGCTACAAAAACTTTATGTTATAGCAGAAAGTAAGAAAGGCTTTTAGTATTCAATTATACCACATAAATTGATCCTTACAAAACTGAGAGTATGCAAAAGCTATTGCAAGGAAATGCAAAAGAAACAAGAAATCCTCCAAGTCCCCTACAGGCTCTGTAGTCATCTGCCCAATTAATAACTTCATTTTGTTAGGTAAGGGCTAAACCCACTCTTGGGTGATTCCTTTTTGTAATTTTGCTGCATGTTCATTTGCTGTTTTCCGATTATTTCCTTTGCAGATTTAGTTTGTGATTTGCTTCCATGTTTTGTTGATTATTCATTTGCTTTGCATGTTTGTTTTGCTTGTTGCTGTTTGGTTAGGAGTACTTTTCTTTTCTTTTTTCTTTGCATTAACATTATTTTTTGTATAAAGATACCATTTACTGTTAAATGCACCTTATGTTGTGCATAAGGTGCAGCTTACAATTTGTCTTAATGTACAGATTGTGTTTTGTGGTAGGCAAATTTTTTAAGAATTGTAGAAGAACGTTGTGTTAACTGACTTCTCTGTTGTGTTGACCTGGCACAGCCTTTTTGTAAATATTGGGAAGCTGAACAGTCCAGATGGCATTGTTGGTCATATCTCAAGGTCCAACTGTCTTGCTTGGTCTCGCAGCCATGTGAAGGAGGTGTGCTGGAGAGCAAAACTATTTAGAAATTCTGAAAGACTAAAGTATAAAAGAGAGCAGTTATTCCCTAACCAAGGGGTACTCAATACATCGATCGACTGGTTGATCGCGAGAAGGTTTTGAGTCGATCTCGGCAGGAAGTGACAAACTGAAGGCCACCAGGATGCCGAGACCAGCACTTCCTCTTCTGACAGGCTTATCAAAATAGTCACTAATATCCCAAACATTTTTTTTATTATTTATTAAAGAATATTTTTTTTAAAAATCAACAAAACGTGTTAAAATTAATTTTCTCAGTAATTATTAAGTTGCGCTCCAGATCCATTAACAAGAAGGCGATTCAAACACCGACTAACCAACAGAGCAGGAGTTTAAATGAGCTAATCAACCAGCACTGTGTTCAGGAAAGGCTCATTAATAATCAATAACTAAATATCAAGCCTGGAAACCCGACATTGTAACGAACTGAATGTTTTTAATATAATCTCTGTTTGGCTTGCGGGGCGCAGGTGGTTGCCACGGACACAGGTGTGCTTAACGATAAAGTGAGACGGAGAGTAAAAAGGTGCGAGTGGTTCTGAGTTGATCACTTGTTTGGGTTGTTTCACCTTTGTTGACCTTCACTGTGGTTCATCACAGCTGCTGGAGTTTCTGAACGTTCAATAAATGACAGACTTGGACTAATGACCTCGTTCGTTTACAATAAACGTCACAGCAAACTTCAAATAGGACAAATATATTTGATTAAGTTTTAACAAAAACAAATGGCTTCTACCACGATAATTATGTCAAATTACATTAATTATGTTCCAAATTCAGAAGATTTGCCTTTACCTCTGCAGAGCTCTTTGGTTCCTCCTATCAGTCTGTAGTTTCGCATATTGACGTCATCAAACCAAATTTCAGATCTGTCATAACTGACTGACAGCTGCTGACCTCAGGTTTGAAACCAGCTTCTGACTGAGAAACCAGTAACCTGCTCCCAGTGTCAGAATCTCACTGAGGAAGAAACTGCATTATCATTTCTGTCACTTTATCATTTCTGATATAACTGATATATATTTGTATAGAAAATGAGTCAATAGGGTTTAATTTACAATTTTTATGTCTTCATGTCATGAGGTAGATCTCAGCCGGCTGGTGAGAGAAAAAGTAGATCTTATGGTCTCAAAAAATTTGAGCACCCCTGCCCTAACCTAAGATCCTGATACCCCTGGCAGATCTAAGATTAAGATGCTCTTTTAATTTGACCAACATTTTCTTTTTGAAATGGATTCAATGAATGTTTGCTTACAGCCAGTCTTTAACTAAAACCAATAGTGAGTCTGTAGGAGAAGCTTCCAGGTGACTGGAGGGATGGCGCCATGTATGTGATGCCAATTAACATTTTTTCATTGGTTAGGATAATGGATTAAAATTTTTAATTAAAATGTAAATAAAATTATCAATTGATTTTTATATTTCATTTCACTCTGTTTAGTTATGCAAGGCCTGTCTTATTTCCTGTTAAAAATACATCTCGATTCAAAATTATTTTAAATATAAATTGAGCAAGAATATGAAGAATTTTGTGATTATGTAACTATTTATAGAATGTCTCATTATTGACTTTCTTCAGCTAATAGTTGTCTTTACAACAGATCCTCCCTCCTGAGCTGTGGATCTCTGCAGCTCCTCCAGAGTCTCCATTCTTTCATGTCACTCCAGGTGGATGTCCATGTCCTGGTAGGTCTGTCCATTCTGTTTCCATGTTGAGATGACGGATTGATCAGAACTCTTGGATGTTGTAGTAGAACCTAACCCAGAGTCCAAAAACTGTGTTAATGAGGCAGTAGGTTATTACTTGTTGCCCTGGGATGTGATCATTTTCATCAGTTTTCATGGTTTGATGAATGGACAATTTCAGCCTTTGTCTGTTTGAGATGGCACCTGCTGGGATTAAAGTTTAAAACATTTGAGATGTTCTTTCAGTACCTTACCTGCAGTATTTGCTATTTTTACAGGTTTCTTAGGCATTTCACATTATCAAAGAGCTTCATTGTTAAACTGAAGTTTAGTGTTATTTGAATCTTTTAACTGAGAAAAGTTATGTAATCTCGCATGATGAAGCTTGTAAATATCACTGCATCAAAAAGGTTTTCTCAGAATGACAATTTTCATCAGAACCATCTGGGTCCAATCAGCCAACCTTGACTTCTTTAAACTGTTCAGTTGTGTTTATGTAAGACAAATCATCAAAACGAGTCTTTTATGTTGGTACAAACTGAGACTTTGCATTTGGGGGGTCTGCTTGTGGTCTGGAGTCATCATTTTTCCAGAGGCTCCTTTTTTCCTGTGGTTTTGTGGAACGCCAGAGTGGCTTCACCACATTCTGCTTGTTTTGGTAGAGCTTCACCATGAAAACCGGTGAGAAACTCAGCCTGTGGAGCCTGCTATCAGAACCAAGACAAACTAAAAAAAAAAGTCATTGCAAAAAAAGATTTCAAGGAAACATCTAATCAATTTATTGCATATTGTTCTCCTTCAGCCATCTTCTTTCCTAGTTTGTGTACTGATTCAGATTCTTAATGTGAGCCCTGAGAGCTTTTCCTATTAAAATGATTATATGACCTCAGCTTTGTGCTAATACTTACAATGAGAACCCTCAACCCACAGGCAGTTTCTTCCTTCTCTGCTCTGGTACTGTGCTGGAAATGCTGGGAGAATTTCCATTTCATTCTTAGAGGAAACCTCTTTGGCTGTGTTTCTTAAGAGCCAAGTAACTATGTTTCTTCTCCAACTTTGGACAAGATGAAATGTGAATGACTTGCATATGGGAAAAATTAGATGAGGTTTGTGGTGGGGCTCCATCATAAGACCAGAGCAAAGCAGGGACGACAGAGAAGATATGGAGTCAGAATTACACAGAGACTAAACCAATGTTTAAGAAATTGATTCCATTCTTGGGAATATGCGAAAAAATATTTTGTAGCAGTTGTTATTCTATGCAAAAAAAAAATTAAGGCCAGACTGTGTATTAACAGCTTTGCAGGTTTTTTGAGTTAGATGATTAATTCAATCTGGAGAGACTCGGACGGAGAAAAGGGAAACCATTAGAAGAGTTTATTGACATATAAATTAGAGTCTTTGGCGATCGGGCATCAATTATTGCAAACTTTGCGATGGGTTCGGATGAGCATTCCTTATGCTGAAAGGAACCTTATCCCCCGGAAACCAACACTGGTGGTGGAGGCGATGAAGGATGCGGCCGGATGGCTGAGCGAGTGGAGGTGGGTTGAGCTCTGCTGGAAGCGGAAGACGCCAGGCTTCATGTTTTAATATTCTCTATTTTCATAATTTTAAAATTTTCTTAGATTCCTAATGGGGTTTATTGTCTGCAAACCATAATCACGCAGTTACCATGTGTGTAATGAGTCAAAAATAAGTTTCATTGTCTGAAATGAATGACAAGCAATATTAAGCTTTTCAAAATTTTTAAAAGACAGGCTGTCTTAATTAAAAAACGAAAAAAATAGATGTTGTAAAGCACATATGTCAAAGTCAAGGCCCGTGGGCCGGATCCAACCCGCGAATTAATTATCTGTGGCCCCTGGATGATATTTAATTACTATTATAACCGCCCGCAGGCCACAGCCGCCCGCAGGCCACAGCCGCCCGCAGGCCACAGCCGCCCGCAGGCCACAGCCGCCCGCAGGCCACAGCCGCCCGCACACACCAACACTACATTCCCCACAATGCAATGGTAGGGAATGTAGTGAAGTCACTGCAGCAAAAGTGGCTTTATTGTCCATCAGCAATCAGAGCAGAGATCAACTTTCAAGTACCCCCCCTCAAAAATGGCTAAACGGTTAGTGGACGCTGAGAACAGAGGGTTTCAGGCCAGGATGGAGACAGGCAGGGATGTCCACTTTTTTCAATAATGAGTAATGTAACGCGTTTCTATTTCAGATCAGGTAGTCAGACTACAGTTACTTATTGAAACCACTTTGATTGACTATTTGCTTTTGTAATTTTATTTCCTCTCGGCGTCTTGGAGAGTAACTGCAGTTTCTATGCGACAATGTCAGCAGCGACAGAAACAATGGAGGGAGATGCGCATTTTTTTGCTGAAAAGGAACTATTTTGAGTTTCGGTCGCCAGTTCCATTTATTGCGGCTCTGAGCTTGTTTTTTCTTTCTAAAGTCGCTTGCAGATTGAATGAGTTGCGGTTTTTGGGCTTAATAAGCCAGAATTTGTCTGACATCCAGTTAGTTTTAGTCCATCATTTCCTGGATGATCCGTCTCTCTGTCTTTGTTCATGTCAGTTAATATATGACTTCTGAATGACGTCAATCTTTGCATTGCGCTCCAGAAAACTGCAAACATCGGGACTGATCTTAGCATCGCAATAAACGTGAAAACAGCCACGAAAAAACAAGTCATTAAAGTTGTGCAACTAAATGTCCTTATAATTATTAATATTAATATAAGTGTCACTCATCTGTGCAGCCATCTGGAGGAGATCTGTGTGCTGCGCTGTGACACCAAACACGGGGCCGTAACACAGAACCTGGAGGCTGGGGGCCGGATGGGGGGTTTAAAATCCTTCTCAGAGTTTTCCAGACAATAATGGACCACACAAAAACACGCGCAAATTTCAAAAGTTTTTTGTACTGTTGTAACCATTAAATAATCTCTCCAGTTCAATCTTATAACTGGAGACACATTGTTGATGTTACCATTATAAAATAACTTGCAATTAAATACTGGTAAAGATCAATGTGATTTTCACAGGAGGCAGAGTGTTGTCAGCAATTGCTGAAAGTAACAAACAATTACTTTTATTGTAACTTAGTTTCTTTCCAAATCAAGTAATCAAGTAACTAGTACTATCAAACTTCTCAAAAACACACAAAGACAAGAACATGATCATCATAGAGCAGCACAATAATGAATTTTCATTTTTTAATGCATGCACTTTAATTTATGTGTTTATCTTGATATTAAGAAACATATTTTGTTTTTCAAAACAATTACAGTTTTTGCTGTTTGCCTGTTGAAAATGTTTTCCCTTGAAATTACTGACAGAGCCATAACAAAATATTGCTTTATTCATTTAATTATTAAATATATACACTGTGTTAGGTCTTGGTTCAATAGGCTGTGTGCAATTATTTCAATATATTTTAATAAACGTAGAACCAGCCCAGCCCTCAGCTTGTAGCAAATTCGTTTTTTTGGCCCTTTTATATCCCTGTTGTAAAGGCTCTCTTTTCTGTTTTACACACCAGATAAAGGTTTTATAAATCTAAAATCGGTTTTGTGTTGAATTATTCACTTTACGTGTGACCATCCATCTACAAAGAAACCCAAAATCAGTGACTGGTATCCAGGAACTAATGTTTTTTTTTTATGATCCATATCCCATGACATGTGAGTTGGAATAAGTTTATCATGCATCAGTTCCTCTGTCCATCTCCTGCTCAATCTGAGCATCACTTGTCAACAAGAAACCAAGATACTTTTAGCTGACTCAATAAACCCAGTCAATTATTATTAATGCTTTTAGAAGTTTTTAGATTTGTGTAAAGATGTAGCTTAGTCAATAGGAAATTCTTCTAGAATAATCATGAATGTATGCTTTTCAATAAGAATGTGCAAGTTAACAACAAAACATTTGTAACATAGTAATGTTGACATGAGGGTCAGAAGGACAAGAAAACCTGGATTTGGTTGGCTTCACTGTGACAAAGTGAGGAGTTTGCTACTTCATGAAAACACAAAACAAATAAAAAAATGGTCAAAACAAAAGCTACAGCCTTTAGACATCCAAATATGAATTATGCACAGGAAAGATGCATTTCTACCTAAAAAAAATCAATCCTCCAGCTGCAGCTGATCCAGAACGCTGCTGCTGAAGTTCTGAGCAAAACCAGGAAGACATAACACCAGTTCCACAGTCCCTCCACTGGCTCCCTGGAATAGACTTTAAAATACTGTTGTTGGTTTATAAATCACTTAGCCATTCAACACCAATGGCAGAGCTTTAATGTATTGACATTAAAGCTCTGCTGTTGTTGTATCAATCTTCCAGTCCTCTCATGTTCTAGTTCTGGTTCTGCTCTGCATCCCCAAAAGACAAGGAGCAGCATTCAGCTTCCATGCACCACAAATCTGGAACAAACTTCCAGAAAACTGTAAAACAGCTGAAACACTGAAACACTGACTTCCTTTAAATCTCGACTGAAAAACCATCTGCTTAGAGTCGAACTTTAGACGTCATCAATTATAAATTTAATGATGGAACTTGACTTAATGTAATGTTTTGATTGTTCATTCAATGTTGCATGAATTTGTGTTTTTGTGTTTGTTGTGATGTAAATCACTTTGAAATGCCTTGCTGCTGAAATGTGCTATATAAAAAAAAATTATTTCATTTTCAAAACTCTGTAAAAAGTCCATAGTAGACTTCATATTTCTTTGTTAATTAAGTTAAAATAAATCCATTTATATTTTGTCTCTTTACTGAGAGTGTCCATAATATATCTGTGAGAAGCTTGCTACTATCTGACCTGTTGGAGTTCCATCTATTTTATGACAGTTTGATTTCATTTTATGTGCCTTTGTGTTTTCTTTGCTTTTACAATTTTTTTAAAACTATTTTTACTATGAAGCACTTTGTGACTGCTGTATGAGAAAGATGCTAGATAAACAAAATGTACTCACTATTTTTTTCAAAGCAGTCTTATTCTTTCTGAGAACAAAGTAGGTTTGTGGTTTGCTGTGGAATCTGGAGCTCTCACTTCAGTGGCCATTGCTCATGATGTTCAAAGGCCTGGCTGATTATTCTTGTTCACTGATGCTCAAATGATCTCTTTCTGAACATCTAATTTCTTTTTTCTCCCCATCTCCCTAATTGCTTCATGAAGAATCATCGGCCATGGTGCAAGTAGGACTCCACCTCCTACCACTGGTCCTTTGGCTTGGCATAGAGGAAAAGCTCCATGTTCAAGGCCACAGAACAAAACCAGCTCAAACACCTTTGATCCCTCATCTGCCTTTTGTTATAGTCTGGAACGCCCCTACTGAGTCATGTCGCCTTCGATTTAAGGTGGATCTAGACCTCAGCATTTTTGACATTGTAGCAAACCTTAATGAGACATTGAGTGGACCGAATGTCACAATATTCTACCATGGTCATCTGGGATACTACCCATACTACTCCAGCTCAGGTGTTGCCATCAATGGTGGCCTGCCACAGAACCAGAGCATTTCAAAACATCTGAGCAAGGCCCGAGTAGACATTGACAAGCTAATACCACACAAGGATTTTCGAGGCCTAGGTGTCATTGACTGGGAGAACTGGAGGCCTCAGTGGGTACGAAATTGGGGTTCTAAAGACATCTACCGTAAAAAGTCCAAGGAACAGATCCACAAGCTCCATCCACACTGGCCAGAAACCAAAGTGGAAAAAGAAGCAAAGGATCGCTTTGAAAAGTCAGGGCAAGCTTTTATGAATCTCACTTTGGCACTGGCTGAAGCTAGGAGACCAGACGGTCTGTGGGGGTTCTATCTTTTTCCAGATTGTTACAACTATGGCTACAAACAACACCCACAATGCTACACTGGTGAATGTCCCAATGTTGAACATGTACGCAATGACCATTTAATGTGGCTCTGGAAAAAAAGCACAGCCCTCTACCCATCCATCTACCTGGACTTTGAGCTGAAATCTTCCTCAAACACCATCAAGTTTGTTCACTATCGAGTGAAAGAAGCCATGAGGATAGCAACCATTGCACGTACAGACTACACATTGCCTGTCTTTGTGTACTCCAGACCTTTTTATGCCTACACCTTTGTTGTGCTCTCAGAGGTATGTTTTCAGTATTTCAATATAAAATTGAATGAATTATACTGCATCACAATGTTAAAGTTTTTTGTGCAATTTCAACAGATGAACTCAAACTACAAGCAGTAACAATAAGTGTTCAAGCCCACTTTAGCAAATTTGGACTTGCATTCATTTCCTGTGCCCTGCTGATTTGCTAAATATTATCTGAATCAACAGTTGAAGGAAAATGGTGTTTCTAGTCTTTGAAAATTTTGTGAAAGCACATTTTGAGTCATTTATTTAAGTGTTACTTTATTTGTGTTACAATTACTTTCTACTGTTTTGTAGAGTGACAAAATGTCCTCTTTGTCCCTGGCATGTTCATTTTTGATGTTCTGTCCAGGACACGGGAAGTTTCTTTGAGACTGCTGGTTTTGATTTTTACTCTTACACTGAATACAATTTTAGAATTTTAGGTAAGTCTTTATCCAGTTTGCCTAAAATGTGAACTATTATTTTTACAGGTTAATTTTCTAAGCTATGGAAAAATATTAAGGGTCCACTGATGTGGAAAATTTATGCCAATATTAATAGCCAATATTAATCCTGATGTTTGGCAATACTAACTGATATCATTCTACATATTTATACATATACATATTTTTCTACACTTAAAAGTGACCAAACTACCTGCATTGCTTCTCTGCTTCAGTTAAACAAACCATAATCTTGTACTGCATCACTAAAATTGTCACAAGACTGAACAAATACTACATGACTAATTCCTTCCTGTGTCCCTCCAAAAGACAACAAGATGAAAATAAACAAAAGTTTTTCAAATCGGCCAAGTTTTACTTATTGGACCAATATCAGCAGTGCTGTGTAGCAAGGTCCATAGCTGGTGAGGCACTGACTTAATCATAAATAATTAGATTTACAAATATTGTTTACATATGGAAATTTTGTGCATGCGGACGAAACTGGAGGGCAAAAAGACAATTCTTCCGCATGTCATCCATAGCTGCGCTGCCACCATAGAATAACTTCGTTAACTCAATGAAACTTGGAAATGAAGGTATTATTAGTTTCATGCTGCGCTCCACGACACAGGGGAAAACCGTTAAAGTCCAACTCAAAGCCTCGTCTTACTCGCTCTCTGTATCGCTACACATATAGGTTACTTGTTGCCATAACAACAACACCATTTTATGTCCCAGGATTCAACTCTCAAATATCTCCCACATAAAGAACAAAACATTCCATTTCAGTTGTATATTTTTAGGCTTTATGTTTTTGATTATTATTAAGTGATTACTCTGGTAGATTATAGCTACCATTGCTATTAGGTAGCTAATACCTGCAAGCAGCAGTTAGCTGCTATTAGCTAACAGCTGCTTGTAGTTTATGTTTCTTTCTGTATTCGTTACACATGCAAACTGTAGCCCATTTTATTAAAAAACTGAATAAAAAATGTTATTGCCTTCTTATGGGCACTCTTTCATAAAGCTAAGTTATTTTTTGACTTGCTTTGGTTAGATCCTATGCTGTGAGAGGACATAGTGACCACTTCTAACTCTGACACATTATCTTACTACCTCCAATGATGCATTGTCTGTTGTTTTTCTGCCATTAATTTTTTGTTATGTGTTTCTTCTCTTGATAGAAGCTATGTCTTATGCTCAGCTGTGACTGTGTGTCTGGGGCTGTTGGCTGAGCTGTTGTTGCCTTTAACTTCATGTCCTTTCAGATGGTACACCTATTGCTGTATTTCAGTTTACTGGGGACTTGGAAAGTCCTCTATAAGTTGTGGCAAATATTGATGTGCAGCCTGAGTCTTTACTTGAAGCCTGAGTCTGCTGCAGGTTTCTTCCTGTTAAAAATACAACTAACTTAAAGATCTTCTGTTTAGCTGTTTCTATCCTAGATGAAACGACTATTGCTTCCATAAACAATTTTTTTTCTCTTAGATTTCAACATAGACAGTACTCCTGGACCAGTGAATCTGTGTTTTTGTGTTTTCTCACATTGAGCTTGATTCTGCTGCAGGTTTTTTTCTGGTAAAGATGCATCAGTGTGTAACTTTTATGAAAAATGTTGTAGAATGCAATATGTAAACAAAACATTTTTGATAGAAGTCACATACTGCCAACTTAAAGGGATTTTTTTTTGCATGCTCAGTATGACGAGTTGCTGCAAAGTTAATCTCTTCATTTGCAGAAAACTCAGTGCAATCAACTTTCCTTCCATGTTCATTCAGGAGTACTTGCAGTAGAACCAGATATTAATACAATTTGATGGAGTTTCTTAGATAAAGAACCTTTTTGTCCATGTAAATATGAACTAAACTCAACTGAAAGTTTTCATTTTGTTAAAGAGTGACTTAGTTCATACTATCGGGGAGAGTGCTGCTTTGGGAGCATCAGGTGTTGTCCTCTGGGGATCATCAGAGTATGCTCGGTCTAAGGTAAATGTTAAAAGCAAAGCAAAAAAACTGTAAGCAATTTACAATAGTCTTCTGTAACATAATTTTTTAAAGTTATCACTATTGTTTAATTTGTTATCTTTTGCTGATTTTGCTTGGAAGGAGAAAAGTTCTTATTTAAGACCATTGACAATGTCTCGTTCTGTTCTTCTTCTAGAGGAACTGCCTTACTGTAAAGAAGTACATTGATGGACCGTTAGGACATTATGTCATAAATGTCACCGCAGCAGCTAAATTATGCAGCAAAGCACTTTGCAAGAAGAATGGAAGATGTGTCCGCAAGAGCCTGGACTCACGTCACTATCTCCACCTCAACCCACGCTACTTTCACATCCACCATAACCCAGCCTCTGGTGGCCCTCGCTTTGAGGTAAGGGGTCACTTCAACAGCCATGACATCCTGGATATGAGGCACAAGTTCACCTGCCAGTGCTACCAGGGCTGGACTGGTGTTTACTGTGAGATCCCACAGACTCAGCCACGACCTCTATCCCGTCCTGTCCTAATTACACACCCTTGGGGAAAAAGCCTGGTGGCACCTATTACGCTCCTCCTCTCTGTCCACTTCCCTTGTCTGTGCATTATCATGTTCTTGGGACTCGGTGTGCTCATAAAAAGTCTTATTCTGTAGACATAAAAAATCATAACTCCATGGTATTTTCAGTGTTCAGTTTAAACTAGTTAAGCTTGAGAACATCACTCAGCAACCCTAAATACATTAACAGTCCAATCAATGACAAACATTTCTGATTTGATTTTTGAATTTTATGTGTGTTCCTATCATTGTACTGCTGCTGATTACAAGATTTTTGAATATGGACAATTCCAAGTTAGGACAATTGCAAGGGCTCTGGATGAACAGGGCCACCAACTCCACAAATTACTGTTTTTTGCTTTTTTTTTTCATATAAATAGAAAAAATTGGGGGCCCTGTAGATTAGAAAATTAATCATGTTCTGTCTTAAAAAATTGTTTTTAGCAGTAAAAATGACATGTTACCCCTCTTAGACCAAAAAGCGCACATCTACATTTGTATTGAATCCTTCTCTGGATCTGCATGAAATGGTTTGTTCCTGCTTGGCATACTTGAAAGTAACAGTGTTCAACAGGTCTAACCCTCGATCTGTTGAAGGTACCAGCATGACCTTTAACCCATGGGGTGGTGAAAAAGGTGAGCAACACTGTGTCTAATAACAAGCTAGTTAGAATCATTCCAGAGAATCACAAGAATTTCTCTGCATCTTTGCTCTTACAATTTCACAAGAAAAACAATACATTTATTACTGACAGAAATTCAAACAATCTTTATATAATGACAATAAAAAACAGCTTTCTGTCTGGACTGGAAGCAGTCCAATCAATTTTATTGTAGCTTCCATTTAAATTAGAGATATAAGTTACCATGTTTCTCCTGACCTGTTTTCTCCTAATTAAAATTAAAGCTGCAGTATGTAACTTTTACCAAATATATATTTTTTGACATATTTTTTAAAACTGTCATTAAGTTGTGAAAGTATGCCATGAGAGGTAGTCTGTGAAAAATGTATTTCCTCTGCCTTCTGCTATCTAGAAACAACCAATCAGAGGCAGGAGGCGGGTTTTAGTGCTGTCAATCACAGTGTCATGTGACTGCTCATCTTCTCTGTCCCTCTCTCTGTGCTATGCTGCAGCTAGCATAACCTGTTGTGAATGCTCAGTCTTGGTAGCACAGGTACCAATGATGGCAGATAAACGGTTTTTCTGTAACTATAAGTTGTTTATCCACCATTAACACAACAGTGAGTGAGGTTGATTGACAGCACTAAGACCCTCCTCCTACTTCTGATTGGTTATTTCGGCTGAAATATTGCATTACTTTAGCCAGCAATAGTAGTTCAGGTAATTGTTTAATTGTTTTCACAGATTATCTGTCTCATAACAAACTGGCACGACATGGTGAGAGCTTTAACAAATATGGAGAAAACTTATTTTATTAAATACAACAACATAGCATTTTTTGAGAAGTCTGGATTGCTTCATGTACATTTTGCATGTTGCCTATGGTTGTTCCTCCTGGGGAGAGACATTTCAGTAATCTAAAACTAATTTAAAAAAAAAAGTTAAGCAGCCTATTTGCATACAGCATGCAAACTGCTGCATGTGAAGTCCACTAGCAGTAAATACTGTGCTAGTATCAAAGAAAGCAAGACATTTGCCAGCTTGTAAAATTTGATGCCTTTTATGGGTCAAACAAACTCTAGAAATTATAACTGTAGGTGGGGCCCAATTAATTTTTTTGTGATGGGGCCCAAGATTGCTGACACCAGATAAAGTGTAGGCTGTGTGTCAATTGTACCCTGTTTGTTGACTGGATGTCCTCTTCTCGCTGATGAGAATATATGGTGTATTAGAGAATGCTGTTTTCTTGCTTTCACACCCCACAGCCAAACGGCATTGCTGCAGACAGCCATGGTCTTCCAAGCCACAGGTGGTCAGTCCAAACTCTGATGTTAGACCACGGATGGGCAACTCCAGGCCTCAAGGGCCGGTCTCCTGCAACTTTTAGATGTGTCTCCATTTCAATACACCTGAGTCAAATAATGAGGTCATTAGCTGGACTCTGAAGAACTTGTCTGCATTTAGGAAGTGATTCAGCGATTTGACTCGGCTGTGTTGGACCAGGCAGATGTCTAAGGACACCGGCCCTCAAGGACCGGAATTGCCCACCCCTGTGTTAGGCAGTCAATAGAATGTGACTCTCCTATGTCACACTGTGATTTGCCAATAGATTGTAAACCAATTTCTCATTTGGGAAAGGTAGTAACTTTGTGCCACTTTACATATGTTGTGAAACCCTGTAAATAAGTAAGAAATTGTGCCTTAAGACACAATTGTGTGATTTCATCTCTCATGGAAGTCACTAAGTGTGTGGCAGCTAATTTAAGATTAGATCTGGATTTGGGAACAAAGTTATAATCAGCGAATCAACTTGAGCCTGAGATCAGGACAAGACTGGATTTCAATATTGCATTATGGAATATTTACTGAAAACTACAACTCTGTTACTCAACATACTAATTTTCAAAATATGGATAAAAAAACTTCATGGAATCTAACTTCTCTTTTATTGAGCAAATCAGTAAGTAGTGCATGTCTTACTTTTTTGTTATTGTAACATGTAAGTTAATAATGCTGTAGAAAGAAGTCAAACTGTTGACCAACACACCATGTGATCTGACGTGGACAGTAGGATGCTTTCTACACAAGCAGGAGAAACTCAGACTCTGTGCGTTTTTAAAATAAATTGATGAATTACTTAACTTTTTGTTTTGGTACTAATGTGAAATCTAAAACACTTAGTTGAGGCCTAATCTCTGGAGCAGGATTTGTGGTTTATGAAGCTAACTTCAAGTACAGTTTGAAATTTTTAGTATTACAACGCTGGAACTTGGAACTCTCACTAATATGTTACATTGCAACATATGGTATGATGCTATGATTGCTTCTGAACCAGTCAGAGCTCTGAGCAAATAAAAATAATGAAAGATTGGCAGTGTGTGAACACATGTCTTCTTGGCTGTTTTTTTCCTCTGTTCTTTGTAATTAATCTATTCAGGTGGTGCAGCAGAGGCACACCTAAAAGTACCACCACCCCTTGAGGACTTGAGTTTGACACCCCTGTTAAACAGTGTTTTCCCCAGTGTATTATAAGCCTGGCGGCCCGCCATGCTTGCTAGATCCCCCACCAGACTAAGCCTTGCTTGATTGTATTTTTAGAAAAATGATCAATTGGGGGAAAAAAAAGAAATAACTTATTTATTCATTTACTTGTTTTTATCTTAAAGCTGGATTGCAAGGGTCTAGTTTCACTTGTGGAGCTGATTTACTTGTAAAAGATTTGTAGGTTAATAGTTTATGCATTTAAATTTGGGAGGGACCAATCACACCGCTGATGCCTCTGCGCATTGCAGCAGCTGGATGTCTTAAGTTTATCTCAGCGTGGATCACGGGGGCCTCCTTTCACTCAAACTGGACACAGGCTGACCTGTATGGATATTGTGACGTGCACAATTCAGAGACTGAGATCTAGACAAAAGTCAGGGAGCAAAAACAATCTTTAATACGTCTGCAGACGGAGAGCAAAAATACACTGCTTTAGGCAAAAATCAAAATCTGCTCTAACAAACTCAGAGTTAGTTGCTTTATTCATCTCTCTCTCAGCTAACAGAGGTGGAGATTTCATCTTCAAGGACCAAACAAAGGAAAACAGACGGAACAGTTCAACTTTGTACGCTCATTCACAATCATGTCTACGGGATGCGAAAACTAAACACTCTTTCTCCATGCAGGGAAGGCCACGGGAAAGACAGCAAGTTCCCAGACGACCCATCTGGGAAACTTCAACAGACACATCTTGTTCAGTTAGTTTGTACACCCTGTGCAGCTGCAAGGAAAAACCTCTTGATTATGATACAATTACATTTATGTGATACATAGAAGTACTCTGCATGATGCAAATAAAACATTTTCTCTTTAAAGAAAAATCTAATTCACAATATGTTCATCAGCTTCCTGTGAGGAATTATTATGCTTCTTTGGAGAACTCAAGGCAAGAGTTTAAACCCACCGTTAGTTCTGGTTGTGCAGCTATATGAACCGCAGGAATAACTTGGAGTCGCACTTTCAGATGTGTGCTTTCAGAAAGATTTATGTTTGTGAACAAATTTAGGGCAGGGGTTCTCAATACATCAATCGACTGGTTGATCGCGAGAAGGTTTTGAGTGACAAACTGAAGGCCACCAGGACGCCGAGACCAGCACTTTCTCTTCTGACAGGCTTATCAAAATATTCACTAAGATCCAAAACGTTTTTTTATTATTTATTGAAGAATAATTTTTTTAAAAATCAACAAAACGTGTTAAAATTTATTTTCTCAGTAATTATTATTAAGTTGTGTTCCAGAGCCATTAACAAATAAGAAGGCGACTCAAAGACCAACTGACCAACAGAGCAGGAGTTTAAATGAGCTAATCAACCAGCACTGTGTTCAGGGGAGGCTCATTAATAATCGATGACTAAATATCAAGCCTGGAAACCTGATATTGACTGAATGTTATGTTTTTAATAAAATATTTGCTTGGCTTGCGGGTGGTTGCCACGGCAACGGGTGTGCTTAATGATAAAGTGAGACTGAGAGTAAGAAGGTGCGAGTGGTTCTGAGTTGATCACCTGTTTGGGTTATTTTACCTTTGTTGACCTTGGCTGTGGTTCATCACAGCTGCTGGAGTTTCTGAACGTTCAATAAACAACAAACTTGGACTAATGACCTCATTCGTTTACAATAAACTTCACAACAAACTTCAAATAGGACAAATATATTTGATTAAGTTTTAACAAAAACAAATGGCTTCTACCACAATAATTGTGTGAAATTACATTAATTATGTTCCAAATTCAGAAGATTTGCCTTTACCTTTGCAGAGCTCTTTGGTTCCTCCTATCAGTCTGTAGTTTCTCATATTGACGTCATCAATTTTGCTCTAAACTTTGAGACTATGTACTTGGGCAAATGACCAAACTGTGTAAAGGGATTCTATAAAGCATGCATATTTATTATAATGCTAGTTGTCAGTAAAAAAGTAATCTCTTGGAAATGGATGACTTACACAATGCCCACCTTAAAAGACTGGACAAAAATCATCCAAGACATTTGCAAGATGGAGGAACTGATATTTGCATTGAATCAGGAGCAAGACCAATTTGAAAAATATAGGACCCTTTGGCGGAATATCTGAAACTAATGAAAGTGAGGTGACCCCCATTGATCCTTAGCTGCTCTGTTTGGTGTAGGATATTTGTTTTACGGTTCGAAAAAGTTAGTCCGATGTGATATTAATTTGTTCGTTCTTTATCCTCCCCATTCTTCTGAGA